TAATGAAGTGCATAATGACATGTCCATGTATACCGGTACATACGAGGGGCCACCTTGAAGACGTGGCAACATGCCCTTCAGCCTCACATGGACCACTTCAGAATCTAGGTAAAGTCAAAGGTCAGCATGGGGAGGGGATGGATGAGCAGCGAGGAGGAAGAAGGGGATTGGAAGAGCAACTATAAAGAAATTTGCCCACGAGGCTCCCTAAATGTAGCCTGATGTACATACATGTATGTTACAAGTGCATCCGTCTTCTGCAGTATAACCTTTCAAATTTCACAGTTTGATCATGAAAATGAAACAGCACTTTTCGGATTCTGCGGAGACTTTTGCTTGCAAAGTGGCCCACCCTGCCTTGTCCCAAAAGAGAACTGTACCATTTACAACACTTGACATTCCGCAAATGTTCAGATATTTTTTCAGTAAAACTTGAACCAGCTGGTTTTTGAAAGGGGAGGACCTACAGGGGATCAAAGGTTAACAGTGATCTGCTACACCAATCACTACAAATACAATTAGGCTCACTTAATTATTAAACAGCGCCCTCAATCCACAGTGTTAGCAATGATCTACTCAGAGCAACTGCTTTCTTCCACCTGCCTACTCCATACATGTAATTTCAACCAATGACTGAGGGGTACATGAAAAACAATCAGGAAAACAGGCAACTTCTGCGTACATTTAATTGACGGACTAAAGGCCACACCCCACTTCCCCAACCACATTAAGATTAAACTTACAGAAGGAAACAAATGAGGCAGTATTAGTAAGATTAACTCAGATATTGACACTAGTGACTTCTGATTTCTGCAGTGCAATGCACATGTATCACTTCGTCCTTCTCTAAACATACATTGGAAGTTTGCTAAAACTTACAAGGGTTTACAAAAGGGTTTTACAGGCAGAAAAAAGGTTCAAAGACAATTTCTTTTGTGTTTCTGTTTTTTTGTTTTTTATTAGGCTGGGTGAAACAAAAGGAATAGTTTGTCATCTGCTTTTTCTTTTCAGCATCCTTTTTCTTTCAACCATAGCATATTTGCCAAGATTAGTGTTGGGGTTTCTGGACTCTTGCTGATGCGTTTGAGCTTTCATCTACATTACATGTTTAACTTGCATTTTTAACTACATAATGATGTTAGAAACAAAGAAAAATCAAAATGTGTTGACAGGTTAACAAGAGGACAGTACTCAAGAAAATAAAAAGATGCAGTTGTAGAAACAGTAAGCGGGGAATGAGAAACTGGTTTATTTTGTCGCTTGGCCTTACATCTCAAAGCGTCTTCAAAATGTACAAAGACTGGCATCCATGTCCCTATTACATGCATTGCAAACATCAGTTGGAACAGCAAGCATAACAAGTGAATGGCATAAGTCAGGGCTCATGTCATGGTACATTGACCTGAGCTGGCAAAATACATATGCATTTGCCCAAGTCAGCAAAACAGGAGTGCATGGTGTGACAACAGTTTGTCGGTGTTTAAACAAACACACCAACACAAACCAAAAACGACCAACACAGGATGAATTGGGATTCACTGTATTCAGCCCCCGAGCCTCATAAATGAATGCTATCTCTAACAAAAAAGGGGAGAGGCTTATTACCATCACCTTAGACTTGGCTTGTCAAATGAGAATAGCATGCTCTGTGTAGCTGCAGAAAAAAAAAAGGGCAGGGAAGCAAGGCAAGTCACATGGAGCAAAGAATTGGAGGGGAAAATTCATTCATTTTGTCAAAAGGTTTTTTCTTGGAGAACAACAGAAAAAACCACCTGGGCTGTCATGTCATCCAGCAAGTGTCTGAAGGCAAATTAATACCCTTTGGCAACAGTGAGGGGGAGACCTGGTTGTGGTCACAGTGTAAGACAAAAAAAAGGTGTCAAGATGCATAGGCAAAAGCTTCTCGCTGCCTCTCTAGATGGCTGATGAGAGACCAGTGCACCAGCCTTGGCCACTTGGGAATCAGAACACTTTGGTTGACGGCCAACAGAAGACATATTGCCCTCACACTTGCAGAGAAAAAGCTCCATGTAAAACTGACATGTATTATTTTTCAGGCTTTTTCTTTTTCAATCCCCAATTAGACTTTTCCCTTTAGTGGAGGGGGGTGGTATACAACAAAGTCAACTGAAATGTTGACAAAGACACTTGCAGACATTACATGATAATATTCAAACTCCTGTAAAATAATGGACTTTTCCATGAAATATGCAATAAGGCAGGCACATGCGCATTACTACCACTGGTTGGCAAACTTGCTTAAATCAATGATGTAATAATACAAATCTTCATGCTTGCGCAACTATGAGCACATACGCGCCATTTCTTTACAAGTTTGACGTGAGTACCAAATTTGACTCTGCGGTTTAAGCTTTCCAAATGAAGGTAAAAAAATGACGTCAACTGGCCTGAACATCTGAACATTTTTGTGCATCCTAGAGAATGCCCATCCAAATCTGCAATCCGTCAGTGCGGTCATGCAAAAAAAGGCAAGGTTATTCAAGGGCAGAGTGCTAGACGTCACACCAGTTTGAATATGTTCTGCACGAGTATGGCTGTACTGAATAGGGCTGACCTTGTACGTGCGCACTGATGTTCTCAAATGACTTCTGACGCACTTCTGACGAGCTGGCTCATTCTAGTGACTTTTTTCACTTTTGAAAACGAAGAAAAACTGGAGAGGCATCATTCACGACTGCCTCGCTTGCCTCTATATTCCCCATGAATCTATGATATTAAACTCTCAACATGACACAAACCACTAAATAATACTGACCAGGGTTTCCCCTGGGGTACTATTACCTGTGAGATGGGCAAACAAATTTTTCCAAAATTCTAGTGCCGAAAAGAAGAGCAAATAATTTAAAAAAAGGTCTAAAATAAATTCTACACAGTCTAATAGTGCAATTACTCCAAATTTCCCCTCTAAAATAAATCAATCTTGTATTCTGTGTCCCTCTTTACCATTCTGAATGATATAAAAACCTATCTATTTCAAAATATCTAAGTTAATTTTGGTTTTTTTCCTTCATCTTTGTCTAGTTTAAGTGTAAAGTGGTAAAATTCAACAGAAAAGCTTGAGGTGATCACTAAAATCAATGAGGTGGGCCACCCACTGCTTGAAGAGGCAGGGGAAACTCTGATATGGACAATGGTCTCTAACATGACATGGTCATGCACTGTAAGTCATTTTTCCCCTTGGTAAATATGATTCAATACAGCTCGTCCGCACTGTGAGCATTTCACAGTTCACCCTCAGATGAGACATGTGCAGCATCTTTAGGCTTCTAGAGCTATGGTTGGTTTTAATGCCGCCTTACCCACACATCTGCATTACGCGAAGACTGATCCCTCACTCTAAAACCATTTGGATGCACCTTTTAATGCAAGGTGTTCAGTGGACATGCATCAAAATAATCAGGGACTGTACCAGAACCCTGCCAATTGCTGTGCTTGTCCAGACATGATTATATCGGCCCCCTCAGGCAACTTGCCAGCAAAGGGCCAGAGATTGCACAGAAATCTTTTCTGAAGAGAACGGTCAGCTATGCACAATGATGCCCAATGCTGCAATGGCCAGTTGACCTGACTACCTACTGCTGATAACAAACCAGGCTTTAACACAGAATAGCCCCCATTTGGAATGGGGCCCAAATACATTATGGTAATACCTGATCGAGAATGCACGGACGTGAGTTTTTGTCCTTAAATAAAATATACTTTACAGCTTCAAACCTGAGCTGGGCAGTATAACAGCCTTTCAAAATTGATCCCTTCCAAGAGGAGAGCATTTAAAAAAAAATAAAAAATAAAAAAATAAATAAAAAAAATATCCTCCGGGATTTGAACTGTTCACTCACAATACTGATCCTTTCCTTGCCCACTATGCTACACAAGCCAGCTCATCTATTCCTTTTGTCCTTCTTTAGAGCCCACAACCTCACACAGCGACCTGAAGCTGTTACATAATATATTTTGTCCCTGTTCCCAAACAGGGTTTTTATTTTCTCTGTAAGGGCCTCCCTTGTTATTAGTGGTGGGTAGTCGGATCGGGCGTTTGGCGTGCCTATGCCACAGTACTGTGCATTTACCTGAGCAAAGGGAGCTAGACTTCCTACTGAGATACAGGGGTAAAACACATGTCCCTGGGCATCCACATACCGCAAAAACCCATTCCAAAAATTCACAGGAGAAAAAAAAAAACATGCATGAAATATGCTTTCAAGTTGACCATTTCCTTTACCCCAAAATACTCCACAAGAACCTTTGGATGTTTATGTGAAATCAGTTCCAGCATTCCGTGTACAATAAATATCTTCATGTGGACGCTAGCCCTCTCCACCAAGGTGGTCCCATGCGAAGGCCTTGACCTTCCAGTATGTACACATAGCCTGGTTTTATTTTCAAATTTTCCACAAAAAACCCAAATACATGTACCTTTGTTTTTCTTTGTTTTAATTTTTCAAAGTTTGATGTGGGTATCCAGTCCCGTAATTTGGATCCAGTTCCCTGACCCCAATGAGCGAGATATTTGGATGGTACCCAATGCTAATCGACAACCCTAGTCTACTGATGCACACACACACAGTCCGGAGCAAACCGATGATATCAATATCATAGAAGACTGCTTCTGTCCAACCACTGGATTAAAGTACAAGTGACAGCTCTGACCCATTGCATTAGGAATTAAATTGGTAAATGATGTTAGTACAGAAAGAAACACCTCAAGAAAACCCCCTACCAAATTAAGAAACACTCAACATATATGGTATGGCAAACCCAATGGACAGTTTCAAAGCTACAAGTATTTAACTATAAACTCAAAACAGACAGAGACAACCACATTATTGTAAAGAAACTGTTAGTAGAATCCGACCATGACCAAGTGTGAGTAAATGAAGGCATTTTTTGTTCAATTAGTAGGCACAAAATAACCACAAATCTAATAGTTTTAGCAATGGGTGGTCAAGTTACAAGGCGACTGGCCTGGGAGAACCTACCATGTTGTTGTTATCTACCAGACTGCTTAAAAAGTGGTTCAAATCGACCTCATATTCGCCATTCTAAAAACGACATGCAATAAATGGGGAGAACAAAAGACATTATTGGAAATTTTCACCAACGACATGGGCTCTAGGTACATGGTTCGGCTGACAATGGAATCCTGTACTTTTGATGAACTTGCTGGGCTTAATGTGTCAGCAAGATAAACACAAAATACAAACTGTATATACGTTTAAGCAGAAAAATACCGGAATAGCAAATTTATGTGGACAGCAAAAATCAGCAGAAATCCAGTCCCATGAGGTAGAGAATGCGTGACATTTTGGATGTGAAGCAAGTTTTGCTACGCACAAATTATCTTTTTCTCAGAAATGTCTGTGTAGGGCCGTGCTATGAAATCAGGAATAAATTAGCACATGTAATGTGCAACACCCAGATTTCATTGCTACCCTTGAAATAAGCTAACCGTGTAGAATTTTTGATTATTGGCTCATGGTACATGCAAGCAGACCCAAGAAAAACATCGCTCCATGCTGATCAACATCTTCAATGCAAAATGAACATTCACAACAATGCAGTGATGATGAAAATTTTCTGTAACACCAACAAGTAAAAGTATGAATGTACATGTATGACATACATACATACATACATGTACATGTACATTTACAGTCATCACAGGTCAGATGGGCTCAAATGCATAGAGCAAAATGCCAGACCCTTGAACATCATCGCTGAGATGCCCAAATGAAGACATGACACATTCAGACGAAAACTAGTTGAACGTAACCCTTAAGACATGAGCACAGATTGTGGAGTCGAATGGTAAGTGCTACACACTTTATAGGCTTTCATGAGAGGGTTGCACAATGCTGTGCACTCATTCATATTCTTGCATGGAGTCCATATGACCAAAACAATCTGTCAGTAGAAATGTTTTTATTTCCCCAAAAGAAATTGCCAACAATTCAGTGACTGCCTTGGGAAGGGAATTTGTGAATGTACGTTTGAGCATGCCCTTCCTTTTCAAGGATTGAGAAGGAAAAAAAAGCGAATAATGTGCTTAAGAAAATGCTGTTTAATTTTTGGCACAAAGTGTGGACTTTAACTTGCCACACATTTTAAACATATATTTGGACAACTGATGGAACTGACGAAAGCATGCAGACGTTCAATACATGTAAATTTCCTTCTCTGGATGGTAAAGCTGCAATCAGCTTCCGATTTTCCTTTTCTAGTAGAACCACAGCACAGGCCAGCACATACTAGTACCTGTAATAAGATGGAAACAATCTTCTGAACGTAAGGTTTCATATGTTGTGCGACTGCGGAATTCTGCTACACATATGATGTGTGCATGATTGGGAACAGGTGGGCACAATTTGCTTCAAACAAATTCTTTTTTCTTTTTTTTTTTTTTGGTTTTACTACATTTCTGCAGTGGGTAACGCCTTCCTGGTTTTCTCCGCAGCAGAATTTTTTGTAGCCAGCTATCAAACCCTGGCTGAGATTTTGGCTCACAACACTGGCTTTGGCTTTTAAACCTTGAGCCTTTGTCTGATGACAGCAAAGCAACACCGGATGCCTCACTACAGCAAGCAGCTGAAAATCATGTGATTGTATCTAGGAGCTCTGCAAAGATTGCCAAATCATCAGCATTGAACAAGTCAATCATTTGGAAATGGTAGTTGACACCAAGGTTTGGGCACCGCTCCAGAGACTTGCTAAGCCAGTAGTCCTCGCCAACATTGAACAGGTTCAGGGCGGCCACACATCCCTGTCGCACACCAGAGGCGGTGGAAAACGCGTCTGATAGAGCTCCCTCTGCCCTGGCTCTGCACGTGGTATTGGAGTACAGTGCCTGGAAAAGCCTAATGTACTTTGGAGGGACTCCAATACCCTGCAAGCATCTTGGTCTAGTAAATCGAACGTAGCCTTCAGATCTATGTACATTGTAGACCGCTAGAATGGGACGCTGAAATTCCCTTCGTTGCTCTGCCAGGGCTCGCAGAGCTAGGACGCTGTCAGTAGTGGATCTATATGGGGTGAACCCTGCTTGCCGGGGCTGCCGTCTGGATAGAAGGAGAGGCCATATTCGCTGAAGGGATTAGGGAGGTGACTACCTTTGAGGGAATGGAGAGGAGTATGGTAGGACGATAATTAGCCGAACTCCTGACATCTCCTTTGTTCTTATAGAGGGATACTATAATTCCTTCCCTCCATTCAGGTGGGACAGTCTCTGAGTCCCAGATTTCTACCACAGAAGTTGGTCAGCCGCGGTGCCACTGTGTCCAAGGAGGCCTTCAGCATATCGATGGTGATTCCATCTGTACCTGGAGCCCGACCGGAAGTCAGCTTTTTGATGGCTTTCTTGACTTCAAATATAGAGGGTGGATCAATGACACAAACTCATCTGGGGAACTTGAGTTGGCGAAGTCTTGGAGGCTGAGGGATGGTGGAGGGGGGGCTTGTTCAGGGCAGTAAAGTAGTGCTTGCACCAACAGGTTAATTTCGCAGATGCCTCTGTCAAGATGGAGCCATCAGTTCCTAGCAGAGGATAGGTGCGACGTCGTTGATGCAATGAGAGTTCCTTTATGCGCTTGTAAGCAGAGCGCATGTTGCCATGGTAGAACGCATCCTCAGAAGAGTTAGCTATCCCCTCAAGCCATTTTGAGCGATCTTCACACAGCTTCCTACGACACTGTCTGATAGCCTCTCAGTGGGCTTCTCTGTCACCCTTCAGTCTGAGTTTACAGCAGCAGTCTACCTGGTCTAAAATAGCTGTAGTGATCCATGGTTGGTTCTTTTTGTGACGCTTCACAAGACTAATCATTTGATCACTAATCAAACCTATTTTTGACTTCAATAGCATACTGCTTTGCATATGCTGGTATGTGCAACTTGTCATTGTAAGTGTGCTGTTGCAGGTGGGGTCCGAAGCCCACGGCGAAGATGGTCTGTATGACCCAGTTCTGCGCTACGGAAGACTCAGCAATCTGTAAGGACTTTCCATCGACCGGTGATCAAAATATGGACGATGGTCTTGGTTAGAGTACCACGTGGTGCAGTGGATCAGTTGGTGCTGGAACCAGGTGCTCGCGACCTTGAGGTTATATGTGGCACAGAGTAGTAGAAGGCGGTCACTGTTGGCCCGTTCCATAGTGGAACGGGCCAACAATGTGCTCAATCGTGGCATTCATGTCACTTAGCACAACGGTGATGTCATGCCGATAAAATCCGGGGAAGCTCGTCGTTAAGCTGGTGATAGAAAACATTCTTATGTGCCTCCTCTGCTACATCTGTCGGTGCACAACAGACAAAGATGAACAGAAACCTGTGGACGTGTCTCAAACGTGTGATTGTGGCAGCATGTCTATGGTGGACTGCTAAAGCCAACCCCCTGCACATGCATCGAGTCCTCGCTGCTCCATAGTAATTTACACTCATCCATCACGGTCTCTCCGCATCCAGTCCACCGTATTTCTTGCAGACCAGCAATAGCCACGTTTAGACGAGACAGCTAGTGCGACAACAGTGATGAGAAGCCCGGTGGGTTTAGCTTAAGCACATTCCAGGTCGCAACATGAAATGGGTGCCTTGTCAAATTATGTGTGGCCGACGCGCAAACCGTGGGATCGCGGCAACCCCTACCTTGTGAGTTTGAGGGATGACACTCATTACGTCTGGCAGGACGTCTAGCCTGATTGTGTGGGCTCAAAGACCCAGGTAGACCTTCACTGCAGTTGGTTTTCGTAGCAAGGAAAGTTTTTACAGGGGTGGGTTGCTAGCCTTATGCCCCAAACCCGACCCGGAGAGGGGGTAAGTTGCAATTGGTCTGGCCCCTATCCGTTAACCTGACCAACTCGGTTGAACCTGCCAAGGGCTTGTGCCCCTACCGGTATGGCTCTTAGGGTAGTCAATTTCAGTGAAAGTCCAAATCCCATCTCATGGCAAATCTGTTAATCCACTTTTGGTCTCTTGCCTCTTACACAATGTTCTCACGTCAATGCCCAAAAGGCCAAATTTCTTTTCTTTTTTTTCCCCTTCCTGATTCGTATATTTGGAGTCAATGTATTCAGCAAGCAGTTGGCAGCAGTTCTTGTAATTTACATTTCAAATACCAGAATCTCCACTTTGTACACTCTGTTGGCATCAAATTCAAACTGGGTCACCACATCTTTCAACCATTCACGAGAGATATTGCTTTCAGTTTCAGACAGGTACCTGGGCAGTGTCGCATTTCAAAATGATCTCCTCAGGGGAGGAAAAAAGCTTTCCTGGAACTGTGACAATTGACAGAAATTTTTTCTCCCATCAAACGGATTTCCTCACATTTTGCAAAGAGTGTTTTACTGGTTTATATACAGTAAGTACTATACAGTTCAATATCAATTGTTGTGACAATTGTAAAGTTACACAAATACATGTCATTTTTATTAGAACGGATGTAACTCTTTTCAAGGCTGTGAGGCTGTCTCATATCTTGCATGCTATATCAAAACAGACGTCTAAAATTACAAAACCAGATGCAAACCCAACAGATACATGTATGCACATCTCATAGCAACAAGGTATCATCATATTGGTACATGTACCCCTACTGGTATGTGTACACATCCATTTTGTTACTGCGCATACATTTGACCTATCAGTGGACACCATTTGATCAGAGCTGGCATTTGCTGCAGGCGATACAATTAGAAGGCTATCGCCTTACAGGCTGCATTACATGACCACTGCTATCTTCAAAGGTCAAAATCTTAACAAGGATATTGGCCAGATGAAGGGCCACTGTAAATGGCAACTGATGAGAGGCAAAACATTTCAGTGGGGACATTGATTTATACATCTTTTTGAGATGCAGAAATGATAGAGAACCGTCTTTAAAATACTGTATTACAAAAAATGTGTAGTACATTGTAGAGCCAAAGAAGCAGGTGAAAAAAACCCTAACTCCCTAAGGTGTACGTAAAACCATAATGAAATCGGATGATTTGGGACTGTTAGGGATCTGTGCAATTTATTATTACCAGCTCTCTGCTTTTCCCCTGTATTTGCT